GACGTGTGCTCTTCTGATCTCATAACTTGCCAACAAAGACTATGCTCCATTTGAAAGTTTCAGAGAATTAGTATCTCATGGTTTACTATCTTTTATCATCAAAAGTCCGGAATCGAGGGCGAGAATACAGGGCATTTTTGGAGTTACTCTTTATTTTATTTTGTATTACAATGTTTTTTATATAATTTTTTAAACTAATAATAATTTTTAACATTTATTATTTATTATTATAATAAGTTTTAAGAATAATAATTATCTCAACTAATTATTTTATATAACATTAAGCAATTATTTTTATAATTATTTATTGCTCTTTTAGCTAATTTTTATTAAATCTTAATTAATCATACTTAATTTTATGGTAGGGTTTCTCAGATGAAATGACGCTTGATGTCTATGTGTATTTCAAGCGAGCATAAAACACCGGGTTCATGGCTAACTTCCCCGCTCCTTGATTGTCGTTATATAAGCCCACACAACACGTGGACGTCCTTCGGACGTCCGATTTGTGTCCTCAAATGTCCTATTTATGTCCCCGTGTTTCGGACGTCCTCGGAATGTCATATTCTCCAAAGGTCATATTCTGGATGTCCGGATATACAAGGTGGACCATTTTAATCCATCCAGTCGAACATCTCGAAAATCAAGCCCGGGAGAGAAAAATTTTTCAGACAAAAGTTGTTTAGTTTCGGAGGGACCATAAGATGGTACCATTGGTTTGACCTTGAAGAATTATTTGAAAGTCACATGAAAGTCACCTCAATTTTTTTAAATGGCATTCCCTATTTTTTATTACATATTCTTATAGCTGACCTCGAGAGCTTTCCAAAACATTATAATCAAATGTTTCTTCATTGAATACTTTTCGAGTTATAAAGCTCCAAAGTTGCAATTTTGGAGCTTTATAACTCGAAAAGTATTCAATAAAGAAACATTTGATTATAGTGTTTTGGAAAGCTCTCGAGGTCAACTACAAGAATATGTAATAAAAATAGGGGATGCCATTTTTAAAAATTGAGGTGACTTTCATGTGACTTTCAAATAATTCTTCAAGGTCAAACCAATGGTACCATCTTATGGTCCCTTCGAAATCAAACAACTTTTATCTGAAAAATTTTTCTCTCCCGGGCTTGATTTTCGAGATATTCGACTGGATGAATTAAAATGGTTTACCCTGTATAAAAAATATATATAAGTAGCAAATATTTTATACTCGTGTTATAAACGATCCTTAAAATGTTTGTGTTGAATTTTTAACATTTGAGCGTTAATTTAACGTATAATGTGATTAGATTATTTTGTGATTAGATTGATATTTAACATTTTTTACTGTTAAAATAACACAATTTAC